TAATATTTGCTTTTAAATTAAGAAAGTTAGTAATATATAGCACTAACATTTGAATTATAATTTGCAGTTTGATACCAAACTTATTGACATCAATTCATGAAATAGCAGTTCAATAAAATTTTGAATGTGAATGAACAAACGAGATGACATGGCCTTTCACCCATGACCCAACTCGAAGGGTTAATCCTAAACTATTGTACATGAAAATGTATCATACATGCAAAGTAGTACAAAACCTGTTACAACCTGAAAATACAATTAGTAGGATTCTGTGAGTTTCTGCCTATAAATTTCCACAAGACTACAATAATAAAGCTACTGAATTTGTTTTTATGAAATTAATCATATTACTTTGTAACATTTTCAAACAAACTTTTATGTAAAGATAATTAAATTATTACCTGAAATGCATCACCAATAAAATGTAAAAAAATAACTACTAGTTTCAGCTGTAGGCCTACATTATGTGTCGGTTTAAATACTTCTTTCACTGTTGGAAATAAAAATTGATACACAAGATTTGATTAACAATGCTGATGTTCATAGAAAAAATAATGTTAAAGCTTACTAGAAAGAGTACATGTTAAACATTTGATTGATGCATATTTCAAATTATATTAAACATTCTTAAAAATACATACTTTGATAAACTGTTACTCAAAACATGACAAATCCAGTAGGTTGTATGTGGGATCCAGCCAGATCTCTACTAGCAGTACTGATAAATTTATATTATTTTCACTGTTTACTTTACTTATAAATATTTAGTAACTTTAGTAATAAACTTAATTAGAAAATCTATGAAAGTCATTATGAGTAGCTCATTCAGGTTATAACCTTTGAAATTGATGAATTATAAACCAATTGAGCTACTCACAATGAAAAGAGATATAGAAAACAACAAACATTTCAAATTCTTTATTTAAAATAAAAAAAAGTTATAATTATATTTAGAAAAAAAATATAAAGTCTAAACAGGATGCCTACTACTTATACAGATCAATCACCTGCATTATTTTGGGCATCAACAATATGAAAAACATTTTTCTCATGGGTATTATAACTTCCAAACAATGAAAAATCAGTTTTGTAACAAGCATATATTATAAGGGTTACAGGTGTCCTAAGCAATACTAACAATAATGGAAACAAATCTCTAAAGTCTAAACACATTGTTTGTGTCAGGAAAGTCAGGGCATGAAAATTTACCATGGCAAGGTTTAATTAACTGTGTACGAGGTTGTTCCATTGAACCAACTTGGTACTGGAGAAGGAATGTTGAATATAATTCCAAATTAACTATGTGTATTTAAATGAAATGTGGCAAGCTTTTAGTAAAATGTACAAATCTGTTATAAACAAAAAATCAAATGTGATACAAAAGTTCTGTTCTCAAGAAATGTATGTAAATTGACAATGTCAGTCTGAATCGGACAAGACAGAATGTAAGGTGATGTTCAAGTGAAGAATAAAAACACTTTGCACATTATATACACCTGGAAAAAAGTTAAGCACCCCCAAATATTTTTCAGGATTGCTTATTGAAAATAAGGTTTAATTTTCATGATGTTGAGCAATGTTCATAATTTCAAACATAATTAAA